ATTAAATTTTTTATACAATTTTTCATTTTTTCTATTTTCTCCACTTTCCATTATTCTTATAAGTCAATCATTCTCCATTTCACGATGTACTTCGTCGCTTAATATTAGTCCATTTTGAACAATAACTAACTCTTTCGACGGCTGTTTAAGTTCATACTTATTCTTAATTTCTTTTATGCTGTTGTATATCAAAGGATTATCATCGGTAGGAAGAAATATTATTTTACTTGTTTTTATCGATTCGTTTTTGAGGTCGAAGAAGACATGAACAAATAATCCACGTTTTAGATCTTTTGAATAATCTAGACTGAATTCAATTTTAGTAAACAGGTCGTAAGTTTCTTGATATTTAAAGCCTGAATCGATTTCCTTGGTTTTACAGGAGCACCACGAACACTTGTCAAATATACTATCTAATGTTGATGTAGGATGATCTTCAGTTGTGTTTCGACCCGTACAACAACAACAACGACAACAGGACTCGTTCAAGCTTTCTTCACAATATCGATACAAATAGATTTTGGAAGATGATATTTCATGTATAAAATCGTCCAATGCTATATTATTGAGAAAAACCGTACAAAACTGATTATATTACAGTATGAATAAACTTACATGATATTATCAGATTTGATTCGTTTGTTCCTAAATTATTCTTTAAGTCGTGATATGAGTCATACACTTCTGGTTTTATTGGCTTAGTCTTTTTAGTCAGCTTTGTATTTGATAAAGGTAGTAAATAATATTTCTTATGCCGATTATCATTGAGATTTGACGCCGTTGTTGCCGACATACTTTATATCTCGAAAATTTATAACGATAATTAGAGTATGAATATCAGGAACGAAACGCACTTATGGCCTTTCGAATGAATCGGAATGTCTGTGTAGTTTGAGTTATAGATCATCTTGGGGATGAGAGATTTGCGTGAGGGTATGGTTCTGTCAAGCAATTTCCAAAGTGCTACGGGCTTTGGAATCACCTGGCATTCCCAGCTGTTCCATGGAATTTCGTCTAGTCTTGTTTCTTTCCAATTCTAGGAACTCTGTCCTGGAATTGTTCGCGTACATATCAGTAAGTCTGTCAACACAATGTAATACATCAGGGTGTAGGGACGTGGGGTGGGTGTTACTTCGTTAACGAATTCTGAAATTCTTGGGAATTGCATGAAACTCGATGATGATCGAGTTTATATAGTTTGTTGCCAAGTGAGAGAGTTCTGGGAATGATTAGAAGAATATTAAGGGTGTGGGTTTGGGTGAGGGTGTACTTGTGCATCTCGTGGTAAAGACTGAGTTGAGTAGAATGTAACAGTTGGTAAGGTTTCGGGAGTCAGAGAAACAAATGTGGATATCCTTCGCGCATCTGCATGCTATGCTGAGACCCATATGCACAATCACCCTCACCCTCGCCCAGATCGTTACAGCTCTGTGCGAACTCACTACTTGAGCTTGGGGAAATGTAGATTTTGTAATTCTCTGAGTGGTTGTGTTGAAGAGGATTATGGTTTGGTCTTTGTTGACGATGTGCTCTTTCTAACACTCATTCGCAAAGTGGGCGATAGCGGTGATTGTATAGATAACAGGTGTCCCATTGTCCGTCCTATGCTTTGAATCAAATGTCCTTTGTGAAGTCCTTCGTGAGCCTTCTAGAAAATGCAAAATCCCTTAAAAAAACCCTGTATCGGAAATCTTCGGAACGAGACATTTTTCAAGAAACTTCCTGATAATTCGTATGAATTTCTCAGGAAGTTTCAGATGATTTTTCGAGAGTTACTAAAACAATCACTGAATCGTCTTATAAATCCTTAAATGCTTGCGACAGGGTGTTTTTTAGAAACATTTTACCAGAATCATGACGAAGAATTACCTCTGAACTTGCATGTTTAGATGTCTGCGTAAAGCAGAGCTCTATACCACGGCAGAGACGTGCTGCTGCCACGT